AGGGAATTATGTATAGGATGCTGCTCTTTGTTTAACACGTATGGGGGTAAATACATCTGATCACTTAGTATATATTTATTGAATACCTTCAATGTCCCAGGAACTCTTACAGACTCTGAGGATATGACAACAGACAAAGCTGACCAAACTCCCTGCCTTCAAGGGATTTATTCTCACTTGTCTATACACGTAGTTTTAAAAATGTAAGATGCAAGAAGTACATAATAGTGATTAACTGTCGGGAGACGCAAGGGCTGGGCAAACAGAACAGCAGCAAGAGAATGAGTTTTCACTCTAGGCCTTTTGTATTTCCTAAACACTTAAATAAAAATGAAAAATGGGCAAGAAAATCTTAAACATCTGTCATTAATGATATGATATAGATTTGTGCTCAGCAATGTCTTCAGACCTGTCTTGAACCTCTTTATCTACTTAGCCTACATATTACATCCTGTAAGCAGACAGTCTTCCATATATTTACTTCTTGAATTAAATAAAATAGCATTCCTTTCATTTATACTATATGCATTTCTTTCTTGGTTGAAAAACCAAGCTCTTTCATCTAATATGCCTAGATTAAATAAACCTATTTATGTTTATTGTCCCCAAACCATTCATTAATCTACAAACCTTAATGAAATATCTCCATTATCTCTTGCCTTTTCTCACTGAAGAGTTCTCATTCCTGCTAATAAATTTCTTAGTTTTCTTTGGTTAGTTACATAAATCAGCTTCTCTGCTTGTAATTGAAGTGACTGGGACTCCATTTCGTCTCCCTACGGGAACCACCAGCCACCAGCCTCATCCTTCTCCTGACATCTTTCACCTTCATTTTCATCCATGAACTCTTTTCCATCAGAAAACATCCAAAAATGATTATTATGGAGCACAAATTATTTTTTAAACCCTTTCAGTAAATCCATCTCTTCCTGTCCCCCGCCCCTCCTCTGACTCCCGGCTTTCTTGCTGTCGGCCTCGCCCGTGGAGGATGCAGCGCTGTGAGGCCACTGTGAGCTTCCATGTCACACCTGTGTGTGTCTGCCCTCTTCTCTCACCCATGCCTTTCCCTGCAAAGTAAAAGATACTTCTCCGCTCTGATGATCCTCACCCCTTCTACAGGGTTTGAAACAGTTTGAAACCATTTATACTCATCATAGCTTACAGGCTCTTGTCGTTAAGGCGGTCTCCGGCATCCCTGGTCTCTTACAGGGGTGCCTCTGGAGAGTCCCGTGGGTCCCACTCTCTCCAGTGTAGAGACACCCGTGCATCTGCATAGCAGATGCAGTCAGGTCTCTGCTCGCATCCCCAGGGTCCCTTTCTAGGGTGGCCAACTAACAGCTTGACTTGCCTAGAATTGAGCAAGTTCCCGAGATGCGGGACTTTCCATTTTGAACGCAATCCTTGGTGAGTTGGAACAAACAGGTCACCCTCTCTAATTTACACAGCTGCTTCTGTGTGTGTCTTCACTCCTGGGACCTGTGTCCCCCTGCTGACGAGCTACTCTCACGCTGCTAACCTCCCCTAACCTCCTCCTCACAACCCCCTGAGAGCCAGAAGTGATCGAGAATTTACCTGTCCCTGGGGCAGCTCTTAACCAACGACTAAAAGGTGAAGTTTAGACCTGCCGGCATGTTTGACCCTGAAGGGGACAGTGCTGCATTGGGACTTTCACTGTCTCCAGTGCTCCTTGCGAGATTAGGTCAAACTTAACCCTCCATGGGACTTTGGTGCTACATCCTTGCCTGGTCGCCTCTCCTTCACTGTCCCACTTCCTCATTCACCTCTAGTGTTCCCAGGAACACCTCCTAATAAATCACTTCCTCATCTCAAAGTCTCCTTCTGAGGAGTCCAAATATTTTAGCTGTCTATCGCTGCGTGTAAAACCATCCCGAAGGGTAGTGGCTAAAACAAAACCATTTTATTCTCACAATACAACGGGAGGACTAGCTCGGGTAGGTGGTTCTTCTAGCCCGTGTGATGACAGCCATGCTGCAGGCATCTGGGGGCTTTACCGGGCTGGACTGTCCAAGGTGCCCCGTGCTGGGAACCTCATGTGTCTGAGGTCCCTTGACAGTGCTGCTTGTCACACCTGGGGTCCTCCACGTCTGCAGTCCGATGGAGGCTGCGGCTAGAGTCACCTGGAGAACCCACCTGATTACTGGACTCCTGGGCATTGTTCCCCCTCCGTGCGGTTCCAAGGCCGCTTCACGTGTATGCATCTCCCAGGGCTGCTGTAACAAGGACCACACACCGGCGGCTCCAAACGACACACGTGTTCTCCCCCAGTGCTGGGGGCTGGAAGTCAAAGCCAAGTTGTCAGCAGCGCCATGCTCCCTCTGGAGGCTCCAGGGAAGGGTCCTTTGTCACTCTTTCTAGCTTCTGGCAGTTGCTCTCAATCTTTGAGGTGCCCTGGCTTGTAGCTGTATCATTGTGATCTCTGCCTCTGGCATCACGTGGCCTTTGCCCAGTGTGTGTCTGTGTACTTACATGACCTTCTTATGTCAGACGGTGAAGAATCTGCCTGCAATGCGGTAGACCTGGTTCAATCCCTGGGTCAGGAAGATCCCCTGGAGAAGGGAATGGGGACTGCCTCCAGTATTTCTGCCTGGACAATTCTATGGACAGAGGAGCCTAGCAGCCTACAGTACACGGGGTTGCAAAGCATCAGACAAGACTGGACAACAAACACTTGCACTTTTTCACCTTCTTATGAGCATACCAGCTGTTGGCTCCAGGTTTCATCTAACCCATATATGGTCTCATTTTAATGCAGTTCTGCCTGCAAAGGCCCTATTTCCAAATAAGGTCTCACCTACAGTTTTCAACTGGGCACACAGTCTGTCTATGTGGCCTCTCTATCAGAGTAGCCAGACTTTGCTCAGAGGCAGCTCAAGGTTCCCAGAAATGCAGAAGTAGAAGTTACCAGCGCTTCTTAAGACTTTTCAATCATTTGCAGTGTGCCTGGCACTGTCTTAAATGCTAAGGTGACAGTAAGAACAAGACGGGAGAGCTGCCTGTAGTCACACAATCTCCACTGTAGTAGAGGGAACATCACTGACCAGTTCCCTTCCCTAGAACTCTAAGAGTTAGCATGTTGCGATAAAATGTGGGAAGAACTAACAAACTACACCTGGACTCTTGCTGAGCTTTAGGTTCCAGACAGAATAAAAGATAAGGGAGCCTGTCCCAGGGCTCAATCACATAACATCCCTGGGCCTCCATTGCCTCATCTAAATAATGGGGGTCTGAACCTGATGACCTGACAGCCTATCAGACAACCTACCAGTCTCCAACTGAGGTGTCCACAATTGATGCCACAGCTTTCTTTTGCTCAGACAAATTTCCAGCCTTCATCTCCTTCATGGGATTTAGAAGCAGCTAATGCTTTATGGGAAAAAAGTAAGGATGGAATGAGAGCTTATAAAAAGGAAGAAAGAAAATGAGGTTCTTGGGCAATTGGTAATCGCCTCTCCCACTTCACAAGATAGCCCATCTTCTTTACTCTTTCCTTGAAATTGTGACTCTCCCCTAAATTATTAACACACATCTGTTCAAATTGTGGTTTCCATCTCAACTGACCCATTTGGCAGGGGTAACAGGCTGCAAATTGTGATCTGGGCCAACATCATCTGATTTTTCACCATTGCTATCTTGAGCATACACCTGTTACAGAGAACGCCAGATGTTCAGCAACAGATGTGCCTGGGATTCACTAAGAAAAACAGGTAGCTGCTCCTCTATGCTTCTAAGCATAAAACACAATGAGAACCATTAATATATTTCATAGAAGGGACCTGAGGATCAGCCCACTGGTGAAATATATGTATCTTGTTCCAAGCAAGTCAGCAGAGCTGAGAATGTGGGCTTTTTTTTTTAAAGTAAGTGTTAACAGCGCTCTGAATAAAAGGTGACTCTGTGCCAGCGTTGTTTCAAAGTGCAATGCAGGGGCCACATGTACCAGAACTACTTGGGCTGCATATAAAAGTGCGGATTTCTGGGCCAATTTCAGAGACTCAGAGTCAGTGGATCTGGCACTTAATCATTTCCCCAAAGCACACTGAAAATATTGAATCCTGTTAGTATCTCATCCTTTCATGCAGCTCTCATCATTCCATGTTCTCTCGTCTAGGCTGTTTGGATTCTAGGCCAGATCTCCTCAAATAACCCTCTTGCCAGGGACCTGGAATGAACCCAATCATCAATACCCCCACTCCTACCCTCTCTTCCTTCTACCCTCAGCTGTACTCTCCACCTCTGCTGAAGCTGTAGGGACACAAAACCCAAGGATGGAGCCAAAAATAGAATCACCCCAACCAAGGGCCAGCCACAGGCTCTGACTTGAAGGCGGTGTGGCTGCAGAACCCAGGAAGTTGGGGATGTAGGGAAGTCTGGTGAGTGTGGTAGAAAGAGGGACAGCCAGGCGTATCCCAAAGCAGCACGCTCTGGCTGCCACACACTACAGTGAGGTCAAGTTTCAAAACCCAGGGGTGGAAAAGACTAGATTTTGTCATATGTCACTGAGAAAATTAAAAGGATTATACAGTGAAATATTCAGAGTGTGGCAAGAAGCTTACACCAGAAGAAGAGAGTTTGGAGTCAACAAATTTTAACTACCTTAAAATATAATACATTCCCTATCACTCAACAGAGATTTGGTTCTTGCCATTTAATCTGTTGCATTCAAAATTAATTCTGTTGTGTTGTAAAAATCATTCATCTCATATTGATTCCGTGAATATTTATCAGTGCCTGCAGGGGATGCAATGGTCAGCAAAAACTAACTTGGTCCTTGCCCTTAGGGGGTTTCTATTCTACCAGAGGAGGAAAGTCCTTGAGTAAATAAACACAGAAGCAAAGGCGTTATGACAATGAGGTTCAGGGTGTTACAAAGATATATCACTGGAGATCTGTCCCCACCTGGTAAGGTGGAGAGTGGGGGAGCAGCGAGAAGGAGTCCCTGAAGAAGTGACATGTGGTCTAAGAACTGAAGAATGAGTAAGTTAACCGAACTTGGGGGTGGAGGGGAGGAGAGCCTTTGGGAGCAGCAGGATGGAGATAACCACGTGGGAGCAGGCAGTGGTCCTGACCACGGCCAGCAGAGAGATTAGGGTCCACGCGAGGTCCTTCATCTGAGAACAATGAGAGCCATGAAAGCAGGCGGTAATATGGTCAGCTTGCATTTTAAAAGGCCTCTTATCCAGCAGCGTCACGAGCAGATGAAGAGGGCCAAGGCTGGAAGTGGGGACACGACTCAGGGGCCGACGGCAACAGGTCAGATGCGTGATGACAGTGGCCTGGGCACAGCGGGGGGCTGTGGAGATGGGAGAAGGGGATTTGAGGCATATTTCAAAGGCATCAATGACAGGACTTAACCGTGGATTGGATATAGGATTGAAGGAGAGCGGGAGGGATGAGTCAGGAATGATGTCCCGGTGTCTGACTCATACCACCAAATGGAAGACTGTCCTTCCCTGATGGAGGGAACAATTAAGAGGATGGGATTTGGGGGGGGGGAGGGAATTGCATGAACTTCGGGGTATGTTTACTTTGAAGTGTCTTTGAGACACCCCAAATGGAGATCTAGAGGAGGTGCCTGAGTCCAGGAGTCAGCATGCTTGGATGGCAACTGCATCCGCAGGTGTGAATGAGGTCACCGAGAGATCCCACACACCCTGTGTTAATGCAGAGTGCTGGTGGAGGGCGGGGGTCCGGGCGTAAAACCGCCTGGATTTGCATCCCAGCTCAGTTACCTGCTAGCAACCTGGAGGAGATGACTCAAACAGTCTAAACCACACTTTCCTATCTATAATACAGAGACACCGCTTCCCATCTTAGAGCCTTGTTGGAAATATAAAATGGCAGAAGGCATTTAAAACTCTGAGTGTGGTTCTCAGAATCTAGTAACAATTTTGTTAACTAGTGTGGACTTTCCTTCTCCCAGAGTTGGTAAGTAGGACCCAGGGCTAAGCCTGGTAGAAATCCAATGTTTAACGACTGGATAAAGAAGGATGAAGAACAACCACATTATGGTCTGAATCTGTCCTGTCCGAATCCACCCACCAGAGAAATGAGGTCAGCAGCTGTATCTGAATTCTGCTTGAGTGGGTTATCCCTTTTCAGGCAGATAGAAAGGGAGGCAAGAGTTCTTGAAGGGAGCCCCAAATCAAAGGCCTAGCTCAAGGAATAAAGGGAAACAGAGTAGGGGACGATAAAGCAGAGAACAGGCTAGAAATAGCCCAGGAGCAGATCAGAAATGAAAGAGCAAAAGACCGGCAAATGCTTGCTAACTATGGGATTCCCAGAGCATCCTCCTGAAGGTAGGAGGACAAGATGGGAGAAGCCATAGGATTTCATACCATCCTCAGAGAGATCAAGGCCTGCTGCTCAGAACCTCTCATCCTAAAAATACTTAAACTGGTTCTATATATAAACAGGGGGCTTCCCAGGTGGCTCAGTGGTAAATAATCTGCCTGCCAATGCAGGAGACTCAGGAGTTGCAGGTTCAATCCCTGGGTCGGGAAGATCCCCTGGAGAAGGAAAGGGCAACCCACTCTCATATTCTCACCTGTAGAATCCCATGGAGAGAGGAGCCTGTGGGCTTCAGTCCATAGGGTCACAAAGAGTCAGACACATGCAGGCATTCATACATAAACAATGAAATAACAGAACTTGGTAGCCCTTCTAGCTCAAGAGCTTAAGAGCGTCCTATGTTATATAAACTTAGGCAGGACACAGTATGAAATTTTGATACACATATGTTATGTTAATATGTTACTTTAAAAAAACACTGTCTGCTATTTTCAACTAGTGTTATTGTTTTGGGCTATAATATATCAGATAAGACTTATTTACTTTATCCAAAAACCCAGTTGACAACCACATTCAAAATGTTGTAAAAATGCTTATCAAGATGATGATGATGATGATGGTAGAAGTGATATTATCAATGTTGTTCAGAGACAGTGGGATCTGGTCAAATGTGACACCCATGCTATGAAAAAAATTATATATATATATATAAATTTGTGTGTGTGTGTGGAGAGAGAGAGAGAGGGCAAGAGGAGTATGCATGGCAAGAAAACTTAATTAAAGGCAAATTTGGATTGAAACCAAATATATAGCTATAGAATTTGCATTATTAAAGTATTGATATTGGCTCCTGCTCCCAAAAGTCTATTCTCATTATTAGGATAGCTTCTATTTCTCCCATTAGATTGATGAATTGCTGAAGGAAGCAAAAAGCGAATTCCTCTCAGTAAGTGAAAATCATTTCATTGAGCATGAATTTCTTTTGGTCCAGCCCCAGTACTAAAATAGTCACCGGGTGAATATCAAATGATCTCCAGTCCAATCTATTTTCAGTCAAAGGCAAACATGCAATGCAGTTCAAAGGAAGAAACATTATTACCTGAAATTTAATAGAGACCTTGGGAAATGTTTAAATAGACAAAATCTACCATTCCACCCCCCACCCCCTCCACCACCCCAGCCTTGAGTAGAAGTGTTGCTCTGAAAGGTCTCGGGTTGACACGGTCTGTTTACTTATTGACTGCATGTTCCCCAGTGTGCTGACAGCCTTCTAGTCCCCGGGATCATTTTTGAAGGCAGCTTTTTAGTTTTTTAAATCAGGGCACTGTAATGTATTAAAGACAGGCGGAAAGTGACAAGCAGCTCTCTCTCCACATACACCCACTGGCAGACGCGCGCCTCCACGACATACTCCTCACGCGTCTCCTTGCTGCCCTGCCTCTCTGCTGGGATCCTGCCGTTTTGCTGGAGTTTGGGGGTAAAAATCACTCATCCAATCCTCACCTTCCGATTCCACGCAGTTAAGAACCTGGCAAAAGAAGCAAGTGGGGGATCCACGCATGAGATCAGCACTGGCCGCAGCAAAGCCGGATAGAGTCACCCTGCGCAGACCCAGCACCGGATCCGATCTGTTACCAGCCAGGGAGCACGTGGCATTTGGGCAACACGTGCTGAAGTGCAGCCCGGCCCTATCAGTAACTTCATACCTGGGAACCTGCTGGCCCGTGACTTGTTAGCCATCTGCAAGTGGAGAAGCAAGAACGAGTGGCTTTGCTGGACCATCAGTGACAGGCTAACCACTTGGAAACCTGAGACAGGCAAGTGCAGCTCCTAGGAGCCCTTGGGTCTAAGTGGCCAGGAGAAAAAGAGCCGTGACCTGCCAGCGCTTAGACTTTGTCCAGTAAGGCAATGTGTCCCTCCTTGCACCAATCAGAAGACCATCTTCCTTCAAGAGAAGAATGCGGAAAGGAGGAAAGGGCAGGGCTAGAGCGCATTTCCCACCAGGGCCACTGGCCATTCCGGATCCATGGAGAGAAACTGATAGTTTTCACTATTTTCCCAATGGAAATAATGCACAGAAGTACTTTTTCCTTTCATGTCAAGCACTGGTTATTGATGACCCAGAAATACTAGGATGGAAAAAAGTTTATTGAGGTCAAGTTTAATTATTCATGTTCATCATTTTGATGATTATTAACCCCCCTTTTCAACTGGCAGCCAAGGATTTCTGGAGATCAGCTAATTTGGTGTCTCTGAAGAAGCTGATACAGTTTGTTGTTAAATGTGTTTTGCTTCACAGACAATAGTGCTGTGATGGGATGCTTTGGCCATGAATCTGCAAATAAATGAATAAATCACACACCTGTTAAATTGTGTGCTGCACATAATGAAGGGGTTGTGATGTGGGTTTTTTTTTTTTTTTTAAGCAAAATGTTACTTCTCTCCATTTGCTGCTCCTAAACAGCTTCTAAATGTAATGTATATCTCCCCTCTTAGTGATACTCAAAGTACTTCATGGTGTTAGTATATATGAATTTTAATTCTATTTATTCTCTCCATCAGCTTTCGGAGTTGCAAGTATAAACACTGTGATTTGGCCGATGAGCAAATTAAAATATACCAACAAGCTGATCCTGACCTAGGTCATACTGTAAGTCAAGTAAGGAGAAGCAGGAGTAGCAGACCCTGAACTGGTGCCAGAGCATGCCGCTCACCTGGGCAGGTGGCCTGTGGGAGGGTGGAAGGTGCGCAGCATCCTGGAGGAGCTCACCTAAACCTTGGACCCTCCAGGCACCCATCCAGGAACACCTGCGATGGACGAGATCAGCATGCCAGGGATGCGGCCGTTTTACCCACTGGCCCAGGCGAAAGGAAGTAGGAAACCATGAGGAAGGTGGGTTGAAACCTTACTCATGGATAGCGTCCGAGTCTTGAGTTGTATGTTGCAGCTTTAAAACAAGTTCCTCTGCAAGACTAGAGAAATGTATTCCCTGTGAAAGAAGATATTGCATCTTTATCTAAGCTAGACAATAATTGTAACAGTGAATGTGTGCTACTTTGTACCTATTATCTCCCAAGATAGGCAGGAAAAAGAGTAAAGGCATCGGAGCCAGAGAGCTGGCTGTAAACTCACGCTCCACCTTTCTAGTTGTCACTGACTGAGCTTCTTAAGTTACTGATTTGTTTATTCATCTCAAAATAGGCGTTTTTAAGATTCCAAATGGAATAGAATCTAGAATCTAGAAAATACAACAAACTAGTGAATATAACAAAAATAGAGGCCAATTCACCGATATAAAGAATAAACTAGTGGCTACTAGGAGGAGAGGGAACAGGAGAGGAACAGCATAGCAGTAGGAGATTAAGACACACAAACCATTAGATATAAAATAAGTTATAGGATATGCTCTATAACACGAGGAATGTAGCCAATCGTTTATAATAACTATAAATAGAGTGCATGCTAAGTTGCTTCATTTGTGTCCAACTCTTTGCAACCCTATGGACTGCAGCCCTCCAGGCTCCTCTGTCCATGGGATTCTCCAGGCAAGAATACTGGAGCGGGTGGCCGTTCCCTTCTCCAGGGGATCTTCCCAAACCAGGGATAGAACCCAGGTTTCCTGCATTGCAGGTGGATTCTTTACCAGCTGGGCAACCAGGGCAACCCATAAATGGAGTATAACCTTTAAAAATTATGAATCACTATACTGTTCACCTATAACATATAATATTGTACATCAACTATATTTCAATAGAAAGTTTTTTAAGAGGCAATAAATTATACAGTAAGGCTGTTGGAGGAATTAAATGAGATTGTATATATGTAAAACAAAAACACTCAGAGTGAAATAGACATGTAGAAGTTAGATGTTTTTACTGTGTTTTGGCTACCTTATGTATTAACTTCTTGGTTCACCTGTTCCATATATATTTATCTATAACAGCATCAAAGAGGTTCTTTAGCTTGAAATATCATAAAGACAAAAGGATGTGAAAGTGATAGAAAAAAAAGAAATAATTTAAAATGATTGAATGCTATATTACTGAGAGCTACATGCAGTTGACTTAGCCTTAACTGTGCTAATAAACTATATGTTCCATATAGTGGAGTTTTGATATAACTTGCAATTCCTGCTCGCTGAGAACTGAAGCCCTCCCACAGGAAAGTCGAATAGTCTCCCACTTGGGGTACAGTTTCCTTTCTTCTGTGTATTCTTAGTTCAGCTAAGCCTTTCCTGCCTGCCTTGAGAGGCTGCAGCCTGGTTGGCCAGCTCTTATCAGGAGTGATAAGAGCATTCCTTAGTATTGAGAAGGAAGGGCTCATCCTCTCCAGTGACTGAGTCAAAATGTTAGCCACTGTTTACCTGGGATATTGTTGAAATAGTCCTTTTTATTTTTGTTTCCCTGAAAGCTTCCTTCCCTTTTGTATTTGACTAGAGTAGCCCCCTGCCTTTATCCATAGGCCATACATTTCAAGACCCTCCATGGATGCCTGAAAGCACAGATAGTACCAAACCCTATATACATCAATATTAGGTTTTTTCCCTATATATACATAGCTATGATAAAGTTTAATTTATAAACTAGGAACAGTAAAAGATGGACTACAATAATGCATAATAAAATAGAATACTTGTAATGATACACTGTAATAACATTTATGTGAATATGGTCTCTCTCTCAAAGTATCTTCTTGTACAGATTTAAAAATGTTTCCATATTAACTGACCACTTAAGCCCTGTGTCAAATTTGAATTTCTTTGTCTTTCTTTACAATTTCACGAAAAGAAGATTCATTCTTACCATAGATTCTGGCAACCACAGAGAACAAATTTTTTTTTTTAAGTCAAGAACTTTCACCCTTTCACTTAAAGCTGGGAAGCACTTTACAGTTCCTTTTGAGCTTATCCAAATTGCCAGCATCACTACTTTGAGGCCATTATTAAGTAAAATAAGGGTTCCCTGAAAACAAACGGTGTGATACGGCAACAGCTGGTCTGATAACCGAAATGACTACCTGGCGGAATACACTCAGCAAAGGGGTGACTCACCTCCTGGGAGGGATGGAGCGGGATTTCATCACGCTGCTCAGAACAACGTGCAACTTGTGTGTCTGTGTGTGTTCAGTTGCTCAGTCACGTCTGACTCTTTGCAACCCCATGGACTGCAACCTGCCAGGCTCCTCTGTCCATGGGGTTCTCCAGGAAAGAATACTGGGGTGGGTTGCTATGTCCTTCTCCACAACACGCAACATAAAGCATATGACATGTTTATTTCTGAAATTTTCTATTTAATCCTTTCTGACCAAGGGTGACTGTGTTTGATTGAAATCTCAGAAAGCAAAACAACGTGTAAGGAGGGTCTTACTGCATCCTATGTCGTGCTGGAGAGATTTTAACTTCGTTTTTCTTCTCATTTTCTCCTGTTGCTGATGGAAGGGGAAATTTTCATGTTGGTTTCAACCTGAACAATAAATTCTCTCATTGAATAAAACATGGATGCCACAATACTTTCTGTGTAATTTCTGCACATGAAATGTACTATAGGGCTGTAGTAGATAAGACCACACTCCTTAACTAACCATTTACATCTGATGCTGAATGGGCTTCCAAAGCACATAAAGTGATACTGAAATCTATGTCTGCTATCTTCAAGTGCCATTTTCAGCGGTTTGTCAGCAGGGCCTTCTAGCCTCGTAAAATGACTAAGTAGAAGGCATAAGTGAAAACCATCTGGCTTCCAAAATGCTGCTCTCCTCTCTCCTCACTTTTCTATAGCCTCTGAAATTCTTAGCACTGTTCATTCATTCTTCAACCCACAAGTATTTATTGAGGTCCTCCAAGGACTTCATCACAGAACTAGGTGGAAACTCATATAGCAGTATATGTATATCAATATACATGAGGCTGCAGCACACACAGAACTCACAGTGGGTAGCGGAGGGGGACAATTAAACAATTATTACAATAATGGGTGCTCAGTGCCATGACAGGAAAAGCACAGTTTTCTCATGAACCTTTCTAGAAACTTTTAGGCTGTGGGGGTGGAGGGAGGCGGGAGATGCTTCCTGGAGGAAGTGGAATTTTAACAGTCCTATGACACCACTCTTCTGAACTAAGGCATTTCTTTTAACCTTTGTTAAACAACTCAGTCATAAAGATTTCACCTGCAATGCAGAGATGCAGGAGATATGGGTTCCATCTCTGCATGGGAAAGATCCTGTGGAGGAGGAAATGGCAACTCACTCCAGAAATCTTGCCTGGACAATCTCATGGACAGAGGAACCTGGCGGGTTACAGCCCGTGGGATTGCAAGGGGTCGGACACAACAGAAGTGCCTTGCACGCACCATCACCATACCAAAACGCAAACCACTGACTTGAAAGAAAAACACTTTTAGATCATAAGAACTATGGGAACTAGTTCAAACTAGTGTTCACAAACTGAGGCCCTGAAGAAAGAAAGAAAGAAATGTTTGAATTGTTAAATATTGGATGGTGGCAGAAGGGAAGTTAAGCCTAAGGTGGCATTGTTAAAAGAGCAGGGGGCCACTTCTGTGGAGGATTTTGTGTCTGCAGAGATTTGAGGCAGCCAGGTGGGGGTGAGGTGGGAGTAGGGCTTGGGGCTCA